GATAGTGTTAATAATTATAGACCTATATCAATTTTGTCAACCTTCTCTAAAATAATGGAAAAAATTTTAAATCATAGACTTCTTAATTATCTAAATAGTAATAAATTATTGGCTAATAACCAATTCGGTTTTCAAAAAGGACGATCGACTGAGGATGCTTTATTAAATCTTTGTAACTCTGTTGTTAATGATTTAAATAATAAACATAAAACAATAGGTATATTTCTCGACCTATCCAAGGCGTTTGACACTGTCTCTGTTCCTACTCTTCTGTATAAATTAGAGAAAATTGGTGTTAGGGGTATTGTACTTAATCTTTTTGAAAGCTATCTTAGTGATCGGACTCAGAGAGTGAAAATTGGCAATCATATTAGTGGGGATTTACTTCTTACATCTGGCGTACCTCAGGGTAGTGTCCTAGGTCCCACCCTTTTTTTAATATACGTTAACGATCTTTGTAAACTGTCTATACCAAATTGTAATATTTTATCTTATGCGGATGATACTGCTCTTTTAATCAAAGGTAAATCTTGGACTGAGGCCAAGCAGGCTGCGGAATTTGCAATGCATATTCTTGTAAAATGGCTTGCCAAAAATCTTTTAACTCTAAATTTAAATAAAACTAAATTCGTAACTTTTTCTGCTAATATGGCGTCACAACCAACTCAATCATTGTCTATCATCGCCCATAGTTGCCAATTTACTACTCCTGTATCCTGTAATTGTTCACCTTTATCACGTGAAAATGGTATAAGATATTTGGGAGTTCTCATTGATAGCGTTATGAGTTGGAAACCTCAAATAGATTCTATTATTGCCCGTACACGTAAATTGATTTTTGTTTTTAAATTATTACGACACTCTGTTGATGAACAAACCTTAAAAATGGTATATTATACTCTAACACAGTCTATATTAACCTACTGTATAACAGCTTGGGGTGGCGCAGCCAAAACTTTGCTTCTAAGACTAGAACGAGCTCAACGCGCTGTTTTAAAGGTATTATTAGGTAAACCTATTAGATACCCAACAACTGATTTATATAGTAAATGCAAAGTTCTAACTGTCAGAAAATTGTTTATTATGAAACTAATTTTGCGTAAACATTCAAGTATGGTATTTGATCATAATTTATTTATGAACAAGCGCAGGACTGATCATATTTGTAAACAGTTTCCAAGTAGACTCAGGCTTGTGGATCGACATTTTTGTTTTATTAGTTCTAAAGTTTATAATCGAGTGAATAAGATTTTACAAATATACTCCCTTAATCATCGCGAATGTAAAATTAAAATAATTAACTGGTTATTGAACCTCTCTTATGATGAAACCGAAAATCTAATAGTTTAATTGCTGTATTTATAGTATATATTCACATAAAACTGATACAAAGTTATGCTTGCGAATACAAAAACAAAAAAAAAATAATAATAATAAAGGAATACATAAAACGCATATAGAGGTGCAATAAACACACACAGACACACACACACACACACACACACACACACACACACACACACACACACACACACACGCACTCACTCACACACACTCTTGTTCTAATGCTCATAAATTATAAATATCATTTGTTTTATTTTATATACTTTGTCTTTCTCTAAATGTTCTTAAGGAGTAATATTCATTTATTTTCATTTGTTTTTATTTAAATTGTATACAATGCTCTGGAGATGGGCGCAAATAGCTGCAACACAGTTTTTTGTAAACTAATGTAGTTGTTTACGTTTAATATGTTATTGTTATAACTTTGTTTTTGGTTTAAATAAATTCTTTAATTCTTTAATTCTTTAACATACATACATGATTTATTGAACACCAGTATAATCATTTATAGGTAATATATTTAGTAAATCAATATGTTACATGTAGTCGCTATAGTGACATGTTATGTTCTAATAATTAGTTCAAGTGACTATACATAGAATGGGTCTACTTTTGATTAGATATTATTCCGGCGAGTTTTAATGTTGAGGACTACTGATAATATTTACTGTAATAATCATAAAAATATCAAGTAACCCAATCAAAGTAAACTAACGAAGTGATTCGATCACGTCTACTTTCAAACAAAATAAAGTTGCATAATAATCGATCTATTCGTATAGATGTTACGATGCTACAGCCTGACATGACAGACTAATAAAACCCCACTTATAGCGCTGGGGGTTAAAAATGTTCTAAAAAAGTGTATCTTATTGTGATCGATATTACGATTAAAATATTGTTTAGAAATTTTTCGAAAGTTTGTAAAATTTGCATTGATGTATTTAGAAAGTATTGGTTTGTTAATAAATAATTTATAGGCGAGTTATATGACACGACGGAATCTGGTATAATGATGAGTCAAAATGTGGGGGCGCAGGCGCTTCGTCGCGGGCGGCCGACAGGTTTTATTTGCATAATTCTGGATAATGCACGTCTCACTGCCTACCACATAAATGTTATAAATAAATTAAACGCTCGCTACACAGGACACAACAGTATATATAAATATGTAGTTATGGTGATATTGTAACGCCCACTCTATATAATAATTATAGACTTTTTCTGCAATTTTCTAATATAACCGACATTATTTATATGACCGACATTACATATATTATTTCGCATGTTATTTTCTGATTTTATTTAATCGCCAGTTTAAAATTAAATACGTTTCATAATAGCTATAACATGTACATGTGTTGTTGGAAATGGGTATATATACAAAACAAACGCACGATGTATGTATGTCCATATGAATTTAATTCACCATAGGTGTTAAGTTTTTCAGCACAAAAAAGTTATTAACATTTTGTTTCTAAAGTTCAAGAAGCCCTTACCACGACATATTAGTGAAAACTGAGCCTGAATATTTTTTCTCCTATATTTTCCATATATAAGCATCGATCAGTTACATTTTTATTGTATGTTCAATTTATTTTTGCACTAGTTGCATTTTTTAGTATATTGATTTGACTAATGCTTTCTTGAGAAATTTTGCTCAATCAAATGACAATCAGTAAATTATTCGATCGAGATTTGCGCAACATTTGGCACGTTGTTAGACGTCTCTAAGGTTTACTCGACGACAATGCACGTTGAACCCGTTATTTCATTTGACAGGTAATTTTCGCGGAGCATTGATAGATAGCGTTCCATTTACCGCACTGATTGGAGTTTCATTTTATAACATATATTACATTTTTATATATTACATGAAATGTTAAAATATATTTTTGTTTTTTCTGTAAGTTTTAATTTATTTGTATCCATACTAATTATAAATTCGAAAATATATCTGTATATCTGATGGCCGCGGTGGCCTAGCGATTTATCACTCCGCTTTATTTCTGACTTCTGGTTCGATTCCTCGCACGGTGCATACGTTTGTATTCATAAGTATGATGGTTTGTATCGGTCTAGGTGTATTCTGTATATATTATGTATGTATTTACAAAAAAATCTCAGTATATTATATCAGTTGTCTAGTACCCATAACACAACCTCCGCTTATTTTATTTATTTATTTATTTATTTATACAGTTACCGTTTCACAACTAAACTTAACTTCAACTAATATTAATTTAATATAATTTGAGTATCATCAGAACGGACATAGGCTATCTTTTTTTTTATGATTCTCAGACGACGACGTCCCGGTTAATAGCTAGTCATTTATAAAGTGATTTTCGAGTATTTGTATACCTCGGAATGTCGTCATTATCATGTAAATGTTATAACGAGCAAGTTAATTTTAGAAAACAATTCGTTCGAAAATATTCATAATTGTATTACCAGATGGAGTAGTCAAGTGTCGTTAATTGTGACCTTGCGGTTAATGTTTTAGTAATGTGACACTAGAGAATTTTAATTATCTCCTATGGTGTTTATTGTGTTCGTTGACGTATTCCTCCGAAACGGCTTGACCGATATTTATGAAATTTTTGGTGTAGGTATATTCAGTAGGTCTGATGATGGGTCGTAGGCAATGTAGGTTTTTATACTTCCTAGGTGATAAGGATCGCTAGGAATCATTTATATTTTAATACCTTTATAATATGATAAAACAATGTTTGCCGGGTCAGCAAGTTAAATTTAATGTAATAGGTATATTTTGTTTATTAGCTAATCTAATAGAGTTCAAAGTCACGTGATGTATATTATTGAAATGGCCTATTGTTTGTTAGCGAAGCTCGTAATACAAGGTTATTTCTAAGTTCTAAGTACTCCTATAGACAAGAAAATTATTCAAGTTTCAAGAGTCAATACCACCTAAAGTGAAACCAAAGACCATCTTTGAAACATTCAATAAATACGATAGGTTTTTGATATTATATCTCTAAGATTTACACAAATCACTTACATCAGAAATAAATACATGTTTATGTACATATTTGTGCTTTTTAATAGAGAATAAGTTGTACAGTTGCTTCAGATTGCAATTTTTTTACGAAATGTTTGAGCTTAATTTGAATATTTGAATTTTATTTAATTATATTTTAACCATTTTCCTCGTCGACTTTAGTGTACATTATTTACAAAGTAGTGAACGATATTATATTAATTGTAGCTTTATTTTTTAATTTTTTAATATGCCTTTTACCTATTTCGAATATAACATTTTCAAATAGTTTCAGTATAGTATACTCTTTGCTATTTACTTAATAAATATATAAATTTGATTTTTAAGCTACTAAAGTTGATAACCGAAGGGTGAGATAAGGCAGTGTAATTACAGGACGAGGCATGAACTTCTTAGTTCTCAGGAATGGCAACATGAGCGGTATCGCGGGCGTCACATGATAACGTTATTTGTAGTGCAGTTTATACCTATATAATTAGGCGACGATTACCACTTACCATCAGGTGGGCGGTGGGCTTGCTTTCTATACTAATTACTTAAATAAATCCAATTAACAGTACTAATAAACTATCGCACGAGCCGCTTATGGTGCATTACTGTTACACTTGTGTTAATCAATTGTTTGTTTACACAGATGGTGGGCAACGTGGTGGTGTTTGTTTGTGTGAATGTTGTGGGCGCGCTGATGCACTCGCTGATGGAGACGGCCCAACGGCGAGCCTTCCTCGACACCCGCAACTGCATCGCGGCCAGGCTCGACATGGAGGACGAGAATGAAAAACTGGTATACATTTTAAACTTAATCCTAATGATATTATTTTTATAATAGCGAAAGTCTGTAAGTATGGATGTTTGTTACTCTTTCACGCAAAAACTACTTAACGGATTTTGATGAAACTTTACACTTTACAGTAATATAGATTGTGGTGATGCATAATCTATATTACTGTAAAGTGTATTCTGATGAATAATATATAGGCTATATTTTACATTGCAATTTAACGCAACTGAAACCGCGGACACATACTAATATTATAAATGTAAAAGTGTGTCTGTTTAAGTGTTGCATTTGTTAAATTTTCACGACTAAACGACTCAATGGATCTTAATGACATTTAGCATGAAGATATATTAGAGCACGAGGACGAATATAGGCTAACTTTTAAAAAGCAGAGAGACTATAGTATAATATGAAACTAGTATATGTGGCTACCGAATCGCCCCGGTTTCGCTCTGATACAATTATTGTACCTAGGTATCATATAGCCTATGTTACTCGCAGATAATGTAGCTGTATATATTGGCTACTTTTTTAAGAGTGTAAAGATTTTTTAAATTTACAAATAAAAAGCTTACCGCGTTTTTAATTTTAGATTTATAATATTATATGATGCACATGTTTAGAATCGGTGTTATATGCAAATTCCATTGTTTACCCTTATGCCACACGAAAATGTTCACTTTAAATTTGAATTGCAAATCAATCATTATTTTTTAATTTAATACACGTGCTTAACAATTCTTATAATTTCACATTTCTTTTTATTTGATCTTTAGTCAGTAAACAACTATTGTCTACGTTAGGATTTTATCCGTATACCTGTTGGATAATGGCGTGCATGAATGGAGTGCTTAAAATAAAAATTACTACGTCAAACACGTGTCCTATGCCAAATTTTTTAACAATTGCTAAAACCGTCAGGCGCCAAGAGACAACAAACGACTATAGATTTTTTAAGAGAGATTATATTCAATATTACTGAACATAATAACAAATATTTTTAAAAAGTAAACTGATCTAAGTAAACAAATAAAATATTCTGTGGAGTATTTATTTCAAATTATATTTAAAAAAATAGCTGTAGTTTACTATCTCACATTTTTATAGAAATATAAAAACGCATTTTCAGCAAACAGTAAAACCGAATTCAATCGTATTATTAAGGAAGTCAAAAGCTATTGGTTAGTTCTTTCTCAAAGTTATACGGGACTCAAAGTTATGTTATAAGTATATGAGACAACAGCAGAAGTATCAGCTTCCAAATAAAAAAGCAATCATCAAAATCACATAACACGTACTGAGATAACAATATAGTTAAAAACTACAATCGCAGAATCTTTATAGTGTTCCGTCAGGTATATATTCAATATTTTGTGCCAATATAAAAATCTATACTTACATACTTTCTCTAAAGGTAAGAAAGAACGAGCGAAAGTATAAAATTTACATATAGACGGCTATGTTAATCTGCCACTTTATCTTAAGTAAGTAAGACCATGTCGAAACCTATTTTATTTCCTTTTAAATGTATAATATTAAAAATCACTTTTTATTTCTTGCCTACGAACACGAACTTAACAACGACGTCAATTAATCTATATACACTCGAAACTTAGTAGAACTAAATAAATTAATTCATACTCGTGTAAGACATCTTACAGTTTATTTTGTTGTGAACATAACGACGACTAACGATTAGTAAACATTATTCGCATTGTACATAGCTTTCACACCAAAGTAAAATATTTATAATATAATATATTACTAACAATCAAAGGGTGAATACAATAGACCTATGTCGCAGTGCTACAGGTACAAGCACCTGACAATAGCCCAAACACCCCTATAAAAAAAACCAAAATACGAATTAAATCTAAATTAAAATCATTTAGTCATGTATATTTTGCAAATTAGTTGGTTGTAGTTTGCAAATTATTATCATTTGTTATATAATAATTTACAAAATGATAATCAAAATATATTCTTAACCTAAATCAATTTCATCTCAAATATATTAATTATAACTTAAATAAAATACGTTCTCTTATCATAGAAGGAGAATATAGTTTTGTAAATGAATAATTAAATTTAATGACCATGTAATTAAATGTTTTATGGAATTTAATAATTATAATATGCGATTAATTACCGTAGTCTAATATGTAGTTATCTAAAAGTAAATAAAAACACTTCGCTGAAGTATCTATGTTTACAAAGATTAACTTAACATTTAGCTTTTGCAAGACTTATTATCCTAACAAATAATTTGTCCTATACCTGCAGTTTCCATCTACTTTATCTGCTATTTTTTGATAAATTAAGGACCATCCTCGTGACACCATTTATCTTAACATCAAATTTGTTCCGTTTAGATGTTTTGTAGTGAAGAGGTAAAACACAGATAAGCTGTCATGCGAACTTTCACATTTATTATTACGGATTGTATGAAGTGTAAGTTATTTATTCGTTCCGTCTCATATCGAGAATGGATTAGAAAAGTAAGTCGTAAATTTCATTCTCTTTTTGTCATCATCCACCTGTCTTCCGCCAGCATATTTTAATGAAATACGCTGTGCTAACGCACATACGTGTTCACTATTCCGTCATCTATTACAAAAATATTTATACATATTTGTTACCGGAAGGGTTACACAAAGAATTTATGAAAATAACGAACATTTTTTATTTAGTTGTAACACTTAAAATTAGAAACTCTACATAATTAAAACCTTACTATAATAATATTAGGGTAAAACAGAATAGGTATTTGAAAATTGCCCTAGAGTTCCTTAATGCGATTTTTTTTTATTTACTCATACTTATAAATGCATAATACATCATAATCATAAGTGTTTATTAAGTCATACGTTTATACTTTACGTACGCGTAGTATTAAGGCCACATGCAATTTTTATAACACTATATATTTTTAGTACTTAATTACCAAAACCCTAAAAAAAGCTGTTACAGCTTTTCCTTAGTTTCTTATATGTAGATGAAATAGATGGAATCTCTTAGACGTTGATTGATTAAGAGACCCTAGATCACGCTCAGGTAGGGGCGACTTACGGTTCCTCGAATGTCACGGACGCATGGAAGGAATATTACTTTTACTGACAGATATATTTTGTATACTAGACCTTAGTCCCTAGTTTCGCATGTGTACTATTAGATATAATAACTAAAATATAAAAGATCTCTATAGGTGAATAGAAAATATATAAGTGATTGAAAATATCACTTTATTTTTAGATTTTATCTATTACAAATAAAAAGTATAATGATAGTTTTAAGTCGATTGATTGATTGGTTGATTTTAAGGTGATGAGTATCTAGAAAATAGGATCCTCTATTTAAGTTTTCAACAAACTTAAATAGAGGATCCTATTATCTAGATACTCATCATCAAACTGAACAGTTGTTTTTGTGTAACAAAGTAATCAAAGTTTTGCACTCGTACATCAATAATAATAATTTAAGTCGTCATTAATTATTATCAATGCAATGTCTTGTGACTGTATTACTAAATACGGTCTTTGTGTACCTATTCACGACTAAACAGCTAAGCGCAACTTAAAGAACTTTTAACTTAAAGATAGATAGTATCGTGATACTATCTATGTTCGGCTTCCTGAGGCCGGACCTAGGATATTTATTATCTCAAGAAAAAGCAGACGAACTCGCGGGTAACAACTATTGACATATTCAAGATCACTGAATAAATATAACTACTTATTATAATATGTTATTGTATTATAATAACATAAGGAACGATGACACGAAGAAAATAATGAAACATATAATTGTAATGACATGTTTATAAAATAAATCTAATCTATATATATTAAGAGGAATTTGATTAAAGCAATTATATTTGTTGTTGTTACGAAAATTAATTGAGATATCAAAGTAACTAATAACCCGGTTATCAAACACCGTATTATTGTTAGTTTAGATAATGTCAGTTTATTATTTGAATTATTTATATATGTAGTTCAAACAGGGTATAAATAGTTTAGATATTACGTCAGTACGCTATACATCGCCTATAGTTCAAATAACATTACGTATTTGTGTCCACATTGACGACAACAAGATTTTATCTGTACATAATAATATTGTTTGTAATAAAAATAAGTGAGTGTTAAACTCATTAGATTGTAATGCTGAAATGAGATGACGATGACATTGTAGTGACGTCGCGTACTCTTTTTATGTGATAGGCTTCTACTAATTATGAGCAAATTACATCAAATCGGTTGCATCATTTAGTAATGAAAATATATGAAATGGACTGTTAATAAATTTGGTTCCGGTATAACTTTATTTTGTAAATTAGATGTATCCCCGATCTCGCACACATGAAATTTATAGCCTGTGTTATTTTAAATAAGCTACTGTAAGCTATATTACTGCAAAGTTTCATTAAAATCCATTCAGTAGTTTTTATGTGAAAGAGTAACAAATGTCCATCCGTAATCACAAAATCTGCTTTTCTAATATTAGTAAGGTGATTGGAATAAAGCAACGATTAGTCGTACTCAAATTTATTTAGATTTTGTGATAGGCGTGCACAAATGGGCAGAAAAACAATTTTAACAATAATTGCTTTAGGTTATATTTCGTTTTTAAAGTCCTTCAATAGGTCTTTCTCATACATCTATCTTTTATATATAAAGATTATGATATTACCATGACTGAACATGAGTTTAATAATATAGCAATTTTAAAACGGTATCTTCACTAGAATTCGTAATCCACAATGTACGCAAAATACAAATCACTGTGGCTCGAACTGGTACAGAAATTGATTGTGCAGCCATCCGCATGTAAATAAAGATTGTGGGTTCTAGTGAAAAGTGAGCTGAATAATAACTGCAACTGAATCGAGCACTTCAACAATAGTCTAGTTATTTAAAAAGACTACTCCTGCAGGTCTAGTATGGAGTATCTCATATACAATTTCAATCTAATACATTTTTGTATTATTCTTTTGAAATGTAACTTAATGTAAATATAATAAATAGAGTATGTTAGAGAGATATTTCAACATTCAGAAGTAGAAAAAAGGAGTGGATCGGATTCTAGGAACGAATGACCGATTATCTAATTGACGTATTAACACATCGGCTGGAGTTTGAAAATTGAAATACTTGAAATACTGATTGCCACTTTTACTTAGTTTGTCTACTAGGAGTAATTGTTCAAAATTACTACTAATAAAGGGACGGCTCGTCCGTGTGAAGTACCTAATGTTAGAGGAAAGACTCTTAGAGTCAGAATATGCGAGTCTAAAGGTACCATATTTTAAGATCTGTATATATCTGTACATAGTAAATATGTACATATACTATCTACATTTAATTTAGAAATAAAATAATAAAAATCAGTCAAAATTTTGTATTCATTTTAAAAACTATGGATTTGTTCTAGAGGGAGATCTTTTGATTTAAATCATCTTACTTTGATAGTTAGGCTCAAGAAAGATCTAACCATCAAAATACCTAAAATTATTCACATCCTTAAAACAAAATATTAAGGTAAAAATATTTCTAAACATTAGCTTATAAATTCTTAAGCCTTAAAATATCTAAGTCTAATAAAAATGTACTTCGCAAGTAATAGTTGAAGTTAGGGTGCTATTAGTCGTGATTTGCGGTGTATACCTATTTTTGTATTGTTTCATGTATTTACTTTTATTTTCTTTATGAACAGGAACGGTTATTACTCTCCGTACTTCCGCAACACGTAGCAATGGAAATGAAGAACGACATAATCTCGCCGGTGGAGGGCCAGTTTCACAAGATATACATACAGAAACACGAGCAAGTCAGGTGAGTGTTGCCAATATAGGAATTATTGAATTAGAATGCAGCACGTCTTGCCTTAAAAGACCATATTACCTTATACTATTTAATTTAGTCTAGATTTAGTTAGGTATGGTGCACCCGCCTGCGCTGTCTGTTAATAGTATGGTTTACGGTGGCGGGGCACCAGTGGAGGATGATGCGATGAGCATGAGGTCAGGTCAGTTAGCCGTGACAAATTTACCAGGAATTTATCATGTTGGTTTCCAGGGGTAATCGCGTGGAGTTGAACCTGATATTATACATTGCTAGCAACAGGGTCATCAGTCCTCATTGCTAAAAATCCTCTTTCACCCGGAGGGGGGTCGATTGTTATAGGACTAATAATGTCAGTGCTAGTAATATTTACTGGAACATCCTGGTAATTATCCTGACTTCATGCTCATTCTTCACCGGTGGTCTAACAACGTATACTATTCAAGCGGGTGCACCATTATAAAAAAAGTACCTGTTCTGCTGTAATATTGATCTTAGTTGTTCAAATTACAATTACGAATGAGCTGTCAAAAATGACAGTTAAGTGATACCAATAATATTAAATGCGAATTAATAGATCAAATTGTCTGACTCGTGTGTCATACGTGTCATAGATGAATAATAATGTGGTAAGTGGATCTAGTTATGTTTGACGTAGACACCTGCCGTTATATAACCCAATAACTGACCAACCGCAAATATTATTATTATCTGTATAATTATATAAAAGGAGAAACGTATTATATGATCCATGTACACATGAAACTACTAGGACTAGAAAAATATTATATAACGGGTTCTTATGTAACGTTAACATGTATTCGGAAAGGATTTCTAGTGATTCCTTCGAGAATAACCGATAATGAGTTTCGTACAGCAGGAGCCGTTGGTAACAACTAGTTTATAATCAAACATGAAAAAAAAAGATAATTATTGTAAGTGCTAAATAAAATAATAGGAATTGCGTCATTTCCAAAATAGAAACTTAGACAACGAATGTTTTACTAGACACCTAAACCGATTTAGAAAATCAATAAAGCGTTACCAAAACTAATCACGTATGTAGACATACACAGAAGATTTTCCTAATTGCTATGAGATACTAGTATACAAATTCATCTCGGTACAACAAATCAATTTGCGATTTGGGGTTGGATTGGGTATTTTCCAGAAATTGAGGTTGTGATCTTTATTTATTAACTCATTCGGGATGGTACCTATATTAGCTATTCGGGGCATGGTGCGGCGGGTAAAAATCGGAAATAATTAAGGATTCTCGCCTAACCGTCTGTCTGTCAGCGTGTGTGTGACGTAAGCGTTATTTTAGTACTCATACTATCAAGGGGAGAAACGAATGTATTGTGCATTCCATAATTGTATTCCATAAAAAAATATTAATTTATAAAAGTTACATCGATTCTAAGTCAGTCTTTATAAAAAGTCGCCTGCTTGCGTCAATTTTGTCTACCTATTTGTATACTGATTGATATATGATATATGATACTTTTTAACTGACAGAGAAACACATTTTTATACACATACAGTACGTACATATGGATGACTTTATGCATTATATTGTAACGTGATTTACTAATTGTACTTATCCTTACCTGTTCTTTATCTTTGGTTCTGACCTGTTTAAATGTTTAAGTGTGTAACTGTATTGTTTTATATAACCAATTTAAATATAACTTTAATATTAAAGATAAATTCATGAGGTATCTGTTATTGGCTTTACTAACTAAGTAATACTATATATTGTCTATAAATTGTATAAGCTGTTGATTACCTAAAATAAATAAAAAAAAAATACTGTGTTTCGGGTAAAGGGTAGGGTATAAATCAGTGATATTTCAGGATAAGAGTCCCTCTAGAATGCCAAAGCATAAGTGTTGTCGCAGACGACACTAGATAACGTGATGACCGTATTGCTGTTACATGTACACGGGCAACGGTTACCACTTACCATCAGGTGGGCCAACAGCTTCTTTGCCATTGAAATTACATAAAAAAATTGTGTACAATAATTAGGTCATGTTCAACTTATTGTTTGAAAAAGACATATTTTTAATTTTAACTTTGATAATGAAAAGTGTCTATGACATACTTACAGTACATCTAGTTATACATATAACTAGATTTGATTAAAATACTATGCATAAACGCAATATCGGCTCCTCAGCTCATATCAGCTTATTTATCTAGATTTTGGTCTTTTCAGTTTTTAAACCTTTCGTTTAATACGTTATGTGTGTATATTTAATGGTATGTATTATAATTTATAAGATACGAAGTGTATTATCAAACACATATATTCACATCCATAATTAATGCTGTATTCACTTAGGAAATTACCAAATTAATGTACATAGTTTGACCGTGAAATGGGTCGTCTGGTTAAGCTTATGGCATATTTAATAATCTCTTGTGATTCGACAGATCACTCCGTTCCGTTACTTCAAAGTATCCTCTAGCATGTCCCAAACTAACTGTTAACACTAGTATTATCTAACAACTGCCACCGTAAGTGATACTCTCGTTAATATTTAAGCTCTTATCATTTACTAATTACACGCATTCGTGTTTGTGAACGCTTGGTGGTTACGGTTATGAAATATTTTATTAAACCTAACGACCCTCCCCAATTGCAATTACTGCAGCGATATCTTTTATTTTTAATTTCATATAGCTCATGTTATTCTTATAATGACGTCTTCAATACTCAAATATATATAATATATATATATAACAACAAGGGTGGACAACCCTTATCACTTAGAAGTATGAAAAATAGATAGTAGCCGATACTTTTGTCACATTTTTGCTGTTATCGACAGTCAGTGTAAATGTGATATCACTAATTCATTTTCGAATTTACATATAATCCTAGTTACAATTATGTAGCTTTAAATTTATGACAAGTAAAAAATATTTTGTAAACACTCGGTAATCTACAGATAATAAATTAGGTCAAATTTGACACAAGTAATTAATGTGTCATGACTTTTTAGTCATAAAATATCACATGAGAGCATTGACTTCATGGCACGAGTTTGTTTGGGTGAGAGGCAGATAAACATCCAATTTATTGCCTTTAAATAGACTTGTGGTCGGGCACGAATTTCGTAGCAGAGTCGATGCCGTCTGAAAGTTGTCGTGTTGTCGTGACGCGGTACTCTTATCTGAGCATCATTGCTTTGTGACTCACTTTGAAACGCTAATTCCAGTCTAGACTAAATATACCTAGATTTAATGATATATAAATAATTTTAATGTTTGCTTTTTTTTTGAGACTGTCAAAACTAAAGCTATAACTTTTACTTTATAGATTATTTATTGCACGTTTAAATGTATATAAATGTGTTACTTAGAAAAAATGTGAGCATTGGAGAAGTACCTCCAATGGAATATGCTTTAATATCCGCCGGTTTCGGCGGTCTAGCGGTATAGCACACCGGTTTACTTCCGATGGTCGCTGGTTCGAGTCCTTATGTGATGCAAATATTTATATTTGTGAGTATGATGGTTTTATTGGTCTGAATGTTTTTATGTATACACATATATTTAACAAAAAAATATGTATCAATTGTAATTTAATTGTCCTGGGTTTTTATTATATTAATATTAAACTGAAACTACAAATATAACAAAGTATAAATTTCGAAAGAATATTTTTATATATATATACATTTGTGCTCAATAACCAATTATTATATTGTTACCAAGGCATAATTAATTATAGATTATAAAGAGGTTGGTAGGCAGCGTTTTCCTTAAGTTCAGTTCAGGTTATTCAACAAAGATCTTCGGCCGGAAATTACTTGCGGATTTCCTAAAGTCTACATAATAATTCGTTGATTTATTATGAATAATGAATACTTATCTCCAATACGCTAAAATCATCATTTTTATATCGCAGCATTCAAGTGATTTTATTTATAATGTATGTTCATCAAGTTGATCGGGAGTTTTTTGACGGATATAAATATAAATAGAAAGTATTCGAGAATTAATCAATAAGACTTAATATTATAACTCGTTTATAGAAATAAAAAAATAATTGCAATAAATATGTTTTCACAACACCTTCTGACTTCTAATGCTGTACTAAAACAACATGATAAACCAAATAAGTTACACTAGAAATAACCAAACTTTAGACATTAGAATATCGTGAATATAAAAAAACATTGGTTATATTCACAATATTTTGGATATATTCATAAAATTGAGCTAAACCAATCGCCATGTTATTTTAGTTATGAGTACAATTATTTTGATGGTTACTTTTTCAATATTTTTTCAGTGCTATCTATTTGGTTATTTCTTTTATAGTTGTGTTTGTCATTGTCTAGGTTTGAATGGAAAATAATATTGAATAATGATACCGAAACGTAAAATTAATATATTTATTAAATCTTCTTATAGTACAGTAAAGGGAAGAGTTGTATATTTTGTTTTAGTTCATATCTGTACTTTAGTTAATAATAAAAAATTCTTAGCTAATAAAAAGATATTATGAAAGATTCTTGTGAAAAGATATTTTAATATGTCTCTTTTAATATAGAATTCTACAGCGATTGTTCTAAAACACATAGAACAGTAGCGAACTTGATTTGAAGGAACAGATTAAATTAGTTTATGAATCATAAGGATCGTGTTAGCGGCTAACAAGTTTATTTTGTAGAACAGGACAGCACATACCTATTCTATAAATAGGACAAAGAATCGAATTACTGGTCAATCAAGATCTATATACGCAAAAAAAAATAGGTGCGGATTTTTTTTTTAACTCTAATGGTAACAATGCAACTACCTACGTAATAACTGTCACATTAATAACATCGTCGTTGACATTATGTGACTCCCGTGGTACTTGTCTCATGTTGCTCTCCTATGGACTAAGGTGTCATCTCCATACTCTACAATACCAAAGCAATGTCACATATCCAAATTAGAACTGGTTAGAAATCACGCTGCTTGGCAGTAAT